AATTTTAAATACATTCTGTATTGAACTTTATCAAATGCTGTTGTGTAGTCTATGAAGAATAAGTATATGCCCATTGCATTCGTAAGTGATCGCTCTATTAGCATTCTGATAATAAAGATCGTACTGTCTTCCACTGTCTTCAATGAAGTCACACAATTCTTGTATTATTTACGATATAATTCCATAATCTAGATGGTAAGCTTAGTTAAGTGTCTTATTAAGCTAATTGTCTGAGGATCTCGCATTTCTCTAGCTTCTTAGGCAGCGCTATAAAGTTGAAATTAATGTGTTGCGGCATGTCACCAGTCTCGTATATTTCCTTTATTGTTTCCGTAATCCCATTGATCCTAAAATTGTCTAAGGCCAATGGTATCTCTCTTTCCAATCCCATTTAATCCTGTTACTTTCTTACTCTTTATCTTGGTCAGTGGCGATCTTACCCCAGACATTAATATTTCAAGTCCTTCCATGTTTTATATGTATTGTAGATTCGTTTCTATTGTCGTAGGAGAGTTTGCAGATGTATTATTCATTCCATCTTTGAAGTATTTTTCTTTCGCCATCATGTGAGCTCACTTAAGATTTTATGCATTCTGTTGAAGAATACGGCTTTATCCTTCTTTTTTTGTTTATGTGTACCTGACGTATCTATGAAGCTCATTATTTCTGTTCCTGCACACCTTTTGGAAGCCATTTATCTTTTGCTTGCCTGTATTTGTTTCTAATATTTATGTTTAATGATCTTGGTATTGTTTGCTATTACTTTACCATTTCGAGAATTTCATTAGTCATCCATTTCTTTCTTGTCTCTCTTTCCTTAGGACGATCTCGTTCACCGATCTCATTACAGATTTCCTTAATGGGTTCCATGCTGAAATCCCTACTGCATATAAGTTAGTGTGTTTGATTTTAGCTTTATCAGCATATACTTTTTGTAAGCGTCGTCCTGGTGTCTGTTGTATTCTTGTTTAGGCGTGGTTTTTGATTTATTAAATTTCCATAATTTCTCTATTATTGATTGTGATGTAGACTGTCTTGTGCTTTGTGTCTCCTCTTGGTCTTTTCTATGTGCACATGTTCCTTCGGTGCCCTTGAAAGGAGATATTAGCTTTATTTCGTTGTTTGATGTGCACCATTAGATTCATTTTTCTCCACACTCGTCACGAGGTACTATTACGTATTTACTGAATATTTCACCATCCATTCCGTTCCTACTTCAGCATTTAGGTTTTCGATAATGATAGTAATTTTCTGCGATTTGTACTGAGTCTTGGCATCATCCAATGTGCTTTAAAAAAATTCTACTTTTGTGCTGTAAGCCGTTGGTATGGGTACTAGAGTAATGGATATATTGAACGACTTCTCTTTCAGCTTAACATGAATTACATGCATACATACATATAAAGGTGCTGTATGGACAACTAACAAACTCCAAGTGTTCAGTTGGACGTCCACTCTTATGCTACAAAGACAAATTGAAAAACAACTTGAAACGTCCCAACTTTGATCTGGAAACCTGGAAAGCCTAAGCATCAAACCGAAAGGAGTGTTATAAGACATGTTTCATTAAGTTGAAGGGTTTTGAAGACAGTAGACTGAAGCACTGTGATCAGCTCCATCTCTCTCCCCCACCTCGTCTTTCCCTCCCTCTTATTCTGATCTTCAACTTTAAATCGTCTATGGTGTGTGTATGTCACCACGAAATGTATCTTTATGCATTAGACATCCGACAACATTCATATTTCTCTTACTTAAACCCCTTCCACTCACCTCTCCTAAAATTCTCTCTGTTAAGGTTTAATCTCCCTCCTTCTCTAGACTCTCTCCAAATTCTGTTTTTATTTCCGGAGTTGTTTTTTCTGTTTTCTTTTTGAATTTGTAGGTCTGATGAATTGGATCGTATTTACGATTCCAATGGAATAAATTATGACCATGGAATATTAGCGTTTAAGCCTTTTTTTTATATATATATATATATATATATATATATATAGAGAGAGAGAGAGAGAGAGAGAGAGAGAGACACACACACACGATTTCACCACTACTTTTATTGAAACACCACCTCTAGTTGAGTGGCCGTTGATTCATTGACACCACTAATTGGGGGTTAATATCGTTAGACAGACACTATAAGTCGCTTATGTTTTGCTAGCAAACCGTAATAGAAAAAATGTGTAATACAGTTTTCAAATAATGTTGTAGTCAGATATTTGTTCTTCTTTTAGATCTGGAGTAAGCATACTGTAAAATCTATCTATCTATCTATCTATCTATCTATCTATCTATCTATCTATCTATCTATCTATCTATCTTACCAGTATTCATGTTAAAATTAAGCATCTGTTAATATATTTCATTTAGCCTAAGTTCATGTGAGTATGTTTGTATATGTTGAGAAATCTTATATTTTCCGTATAGGCAGTTAATTAATTCTCACCCTCTTCCACTAACAGCTCTTTAGAGTCTGCAGACATGGTTGGGCCAAAAACGCCAAGTCAGCCCAAAACGTCTCAAAAACAAAATCCCACTGATGATGGCATTAACTATGGCATCGTTGATAATTGGTACAAGTCTATAAATGCATCTTTACTTTTCTTTCTAATTCTTTTTACTGACAGGTGGTGACACTTACAATGAATAATGGAATGGGGCTTATTCTGTGTGACGACATTAAGTAGTAAAAATAGGTTTGTGAACTTTAGGGGTGAAATTAGGTGTACGATGTGCTGTACGGTGAAATATGAGTGATTAGCAATTTGTTGGTAGTCAAATTTTATAACGATAATATACAGTTGGATTATATAATTTAGGTACATTAATACATTAACTTTGAAATAATAGTTATTTACATTAATGTAGTTAAACAAGCATGATATCATATGTAAATTTAAAGCAATTTTTTTAGAACATCATCAACACTTAAGGACATGTCTCAAAATTGACTTTTACATTTTATTTGTCAATAATAAATTGAAATTATTTATGATCTTTTCTATTGGAACTGAGGTACAGCGATGGACAAATATAACAGTTTGTCATAAGGAACTAGGATGAAAATCGTGCAACTACATTAGTTTATGTAGTCATAGATGGCAATAATTTCCGAATAGAGTGCTGCTTACAGTGCCATTCATATCTAAAACACATCATATGGTTATTTGGATCGACGGCGAGGTGGAAAACCGACGAAAAGAAATATGGATAAGTACATTCAACAATTTTTAACGAGTAATAAGAAAATGACCAGAAATGACAGTTTGAAATGAGTGTGGTCACAATTAAATTTTGCATGAATTAATTTTATTTCATGGGATATGTATTCCGCAAAATGCCAAATTTTCTCAAAAAAAAATTGGCTAGCATGCGTCCTCTTCATCAACGACAAGAGCTTGGAACAGTGGTCTAAAGTGATATGAACTAATAAATGGAAATTCAACATTTTTAATTTTGTTGATTGGTCGAAAAATGTTTGGGAAGGAGTATCAATCGACATACATTAAATTAACAGTTAAACATGAAAGTAAGAGTGTAATGATATAATATAGTATCATATATCTAGATACTGTGTAGTATTGAATTAAGGGAATTATGGATAGTAAAATAGATATATTTACCAACATATACAATCATTAGCCCAAATCAGTTGGGCTAGTCACGGGTTTTCCAAAATAATCTGAAGTACATCACTGCACCAGTTAGAATCTACATTGAAGGTAATAACACTGAAAAATAACTAATCGGTGGATCACAATCCTACTGAGAATTAATAGCTGGGAGATTGAAATTTATATTCAACACAAAAAATTCACAAACATAAATTAGCTATAAAATAATATAATGAAATTTTGAAAAAAAATAATTAGAATGATTAAGTTATCAAATTGGCCAATGCATCGTAGATGTGATGCGACGTTAAAAAACTTTGGATTACTATATGATTTATTCAAGTTCTTTCCTTTTATCTTTTTTATTTCTTCATGCGTTTGTTATTTTATAAAACTAATAGATAATTGGAATGTCCCTAAAGTACTTAAAAGCGTTATTTTTGGCAAATTGATATTATATTATTTAGGCTGAATCAATATCGTTAAAATAACTATCAATAAAAAGATTATATGCCTATGCACACACACATATACACACAGAGAAACACACACACACACACACACAAACACACACACACACACATATATATATATTAATAATAATAAATGTACATTTTATCTCTCACCTGTAGCACTGAGTTTCATGCAAAATGCAATCGTCAGGTGCTGATGGAAAACTGACTAGCGGCCAGTTTTCAATCAGCACGCAGAGTTGTGCTATCAGTGAGGAATTAAATTGATATTTATTATTAATAGAAATTACAACTCTGTTATTATAAATCGAGCTCCATTTTATTCGCATCAGCACTGGATGTTCGATATTTTATATTCATATATATATAAATAGAGAGAGAGAGAGAGAGAGAGAGAGAGAGAGAGAGAGAGAAAGAGATAGGGAGAAAATAAATAGGCCGGTTAATGAAATTTGAAGGATAAAAAAAACAAAAAAATGATTCCAGTATTGTCAATAAAATTGATATTTATCATATATTAACTTTTTGACTGAACTGAAGCACGAAGAGATAAATTTTAAAGTCGGGGATTTGGAAGACGCCTATATTCTTTTTCAACGATGCGAACAATAAGCAAAGAAGTGGAACTTGCTCTTTTAAGGAATGTTGCTGGTTAGATGTCTCCCCGTGGAAGTTGTACTCTGAGTAAATCCAAGTATTTGTTTAATCCCTCAATGTTTGAATTTATTTTGAATATAAATTTCAACTTCGATCTAAGTCTTGCCTCTCGGCTGTTGAACGAAGACGCCAAAAGCATGCATCCAATGTCATCTGCGCTGTGATGTGGCTTTTTGTTAATCTGAACGTGCAGTTTAGTTCAAATGATTTCAGTTAAATTCAAATTCTTATTCTATACAGAAATGACAAATGATATACTTACCAAGATAGTTTCTGCTACTTTCCAGTTCGGTTATATTGATGTTAAAAGCACCTTTTGGGACCGTCATTATTCGGTTGTAGCCATATTTCATTAGACTTGCATCCACCGTAAAGTTGGATCGAACAACACGGCATGATTTCTCTTGTCCATTACAAACACCACATAAGTCAATCTTGGCTGTTGATCCGATAATGCCATCACAGCCGACTTTCTGATAACAGAAGACAATAACAAGTCATTTAATAAAAATCGACAAAATGTATTAATTGGAATATGTGTTTTTTGCAAAAAGCAAACATTATATGATATGATAGAAACATTTCGAAATTAACAAACAACATCATTGAGCTTGATAGGCATCTTCAGTATAAAATAGATTATCTATAACATTTCTTTCCTTGTTACAATCATTTTATAGATTCCATTGGATTATTTATTCACTACTTTTTCTGAATGATTGCTGATACAAATTTGGCAAATTCAGATAGAATATGTATATACATAAATTTATCGTTTAATATTTGTAACTATTTTAAAACTGCATAAACTATAAAACATAAAACCCGAGACATCCACAAATAGATTTTGCACTGTTTTGGTTTTTATATACACGACTTCAGAGCATTTTGTGACAGGAAACAAACGATTATACACTATTTACCATTATTTACACTAATGCTTAATTTCTCTCCAGGGGTGGGGAGTGGTTTTCGCATTTGAATAAAACGCTATCCTAAATAGGACTCCATGTGTCGAACTGGTCTGGCGCCTATTTTATAATTAAATATATTTCCCAAATAAGCCTGGTCATTTTCATTGACCTAAAAGCAGCAAACTACATAAAAAAGCCCAACTTGTACCGGAAGCAACTTGACAATTTGGAAAAAGATACCCCATTTTATTGGTTTCCACGAACGTGCGGAGGACATAGAAAACTCTTCTTCGTCTTTATTTCTGCGGAAAGATCACCACAGACAAGAGTGGTATAAATAGCAAGGAAAGCATAAAGTTTTATTCTTTTAAATAATCAGTTTAAGATAATTCTTTTAAATAATAATAATGAGCCTAATGCTAATACTAATAAAAATAAGTGCCTCTTAGTGTACGTAAGACAAAGCAAAAATATACTTCTTACATCAGTTAAATCTTCACTTCAAATGAAAAGACGTATGAACAAATATTTAAGACATAGAAAACAAAAACCCCAAAATGAGAAGAAAAACAATTATATGGGCACTGGAGAAAACAAATGATAATAATGGCAAATAAATCGACATAGCCATGGCAATGTAGCAGAAATGTTAAAAGAGAAAATCACTTACTTTTCACGTCAAAAGAATCAAATATATAAATACCAAGATAGTTTCAAAAGAGGGGACGACACATGGATACTGCGGTACTCACTCACTGTTATTTTATTTAGTATGACTAGATTTAGTCTCCTGGCCTGGACTGGGTGATATTTTCAAAGTTCCAAATTTTAAAAACATTGTTCTCTATAAAAAATGTTTTTGCTGATCCCGTTAGTTTTTTATACTCAGGCCAGAGTCATTTGAACGTTTACCAACAGATCAATGCTCCTATCAAGTAAATTTGTTTTTCTGATCAAATGTATAGAATAAATGATCCCTTTTTATTGTTTCTACGTACAATTATCCATCAGTCAATCAAAATGTATGCATAAATGTGTGTACTGGTGTATGCGTACATAATGTTATTAAGGTGTATATTATTTACGGTTTATAGCATTTTAGGATATCTGTATTGACAATAGTAATCAAGTAAAGAAAAAACGATGAAAGTTAATGGAAGTGAGCAATTTATTTTCTTTGTTTCCCCCATTGGTTCCTATGATGGAAAATTTCAGTAAATACAAATGAAAGTAAAGGAAGTACAGCTGAAATAGATTGAAAGATGAAAATATTTTTTTAGAGAGACTCGGTTATAAATTTCTAAATTCAAGTGATAGTCAAGAAATCGAGAAAATAGTAGAAACAGATCGACAAGTAGAAAGAGAATAATGCAAAAAATAACAGCCGGAGAGACGGATTTATTGATGTAAAAAAAATGCATTAGTCTCATAATTATCTGTTAATGCAGCGAAGTTTTGTCAGAGATTAAACAAAACACGTAAAAAGTGTACCAAGCAAAACTATAATAGAAATAAAAATAACTTAAAATATCCTCAAGTGGTTTAAGTTGCTTATCTCTTGCTAAGACACAACTCTAACGAGTGGGCGGAGATTTAGGACAGTGAATAGACAACAAAGTGTAGAATTACTTGAAATAAAAACAAAGTAAAAAGAAACCTTTAAGGATACAAAAACATTCTGTTTGCAAGTCAGCACATTTTGAATTAAATGTACTTGGAAAAAAGTTTGCTTTTAAACAATTGCTGAGTTTTTTTTTTCTTTATTTTTAAATACAACTCCAGGGATTGAAAAAATATAGGCTTACATGTCGGTTCAGACTGGCACCTGGTTATTCACTCATTTTAACTGAATAAAAAAGAAAAAAATGATCTTGACATGCACGTGCTCAGTTATGTGAGTACGTTATATTAGGCGCACAAATTTAAGCGCCATGATTAAAATATATTCTGGTTATAATTATTTAATTACGAATGATAAATAAATAGAGGCAATAATACGAACTGACTGGATTTTCAGGCAGGATATCGAAATCGAATGAAGAATTGAAAAAAGTGATGTACAAATGAAAAACAACGGAAAAATTGAATTTTGAAAACAGGAAATCATTAGGAAGCAGACTACACTGGACGGCCGTTTCGGGTGTCATCAGTAATGAGCATCCACTGACGAGAATCGAACCCGGACCGTTTCGATACAACGGAAACGTCATACCAACTGCATAGAACGAAACGGCTGTTCAGTTTTTTTCTGCATTCCGTTGAAGATTATGCTAGGCTCGATGAATTACTATATATGATTACTCTAAATCACCAATATCTCTTCACTTGCTTGACCCAGTTCCTACTCATGAGGAGCGGCTAAGTGTGAAAAGAAGACGTGGCTCTTGGGACACTGTTCCGTGATTAGTCGCATACTTGGAAGAGTATCACTACGGAACTAAGTGAGTAGCGGTGCTATATCGAGTTTGGCCAGTTTCTTCTTCTGCCCGTGGTACAGTTGTTATGATGTTTGCGTTGTATCAATTCTCAGTAGTGGACGCGCACTGCTGATGAGTCCCAAAATAGGACGAAATGGCCGTCCAGTGCTTTCTGCTGAGAATTATTCTATGCTTGTTGAATTACTATATATATATATATATATATATATATATATATATATATATATATATATATATATTCCGTTTTATATATGTAGATTATTAACTATAAATTATTTTCTTGCGGGTTATTTTATAATCTTAGATTCCATTTCGGTATTTAAGAATGAGATAATCCGTTATTATGATAACATATGGTCGCCTCGAAAGGCGTCTGTTACTTTTACAATAAGAATGGATTGTTATTTGAGTAAATAATGAAACCAAGTAGATGATCGATAAATATATAAAGTCATGTTGTGTTTTATATATGTTAATATTTTAAAAGTCCATTTTGATTCTGTGGCATTTGTCTCTTGAGAAAAGGTCCAGTAGAAATCTTTTTCAAAATTTTGTTATATAGTCATATTTGATTGATAAATTTTTGCCATTATCCTTATTCAAAATCCTATCTGTTTATGAGAGGATAGTAGTTCATGCACATTGTATTAAATACATCTTGTTTTTAGTAAATTTTTCTTTTGTCTTTCGCGTTTAAACATTCGTACCATAGAAACTTAAACGAGTTTGATTTAGAGGGATCTATGAAAATAATAAAGTACTTATATAACTACAAATACTATAACATACCAGGGTGGACTGAAAACTTCATAGACATGCATTAATTTCAACTCTTCTTATTAATAAGTGCATTGTTTATTTCAGGTAAACTGACATCTGACTGTTCAAAAAAGACTGATCATCCTTTTGGTCAAAGAAAGTCACCAATCATCACTGAGATACCGGTTCCCAGTCAAGTATTTTTTTTTTTTCATGTTGAGGAATAGACGCGAGAAATCAGAATAGGGAGGGTGATCAACTAGTTAAAAGTAAAACTCACGAAGAGCAATCATTGAAACCAAGGACTTGTGTACTGGAGCATTGTCCTGATTAAACAAGACCCCTATCGTCATTTTTCCTGGGCGTTTGGTTTAAATAGTCTTTCGGAACTTATTCAGAAAGTTGGCATAGTACTCGCCATTGATAGTGTGACCCTTTGGAAAATATTCAATAAATGCACTTCCTTTTGCATATCAAAAAAGTGAGGCCGTCACCTTCCCTGCTGATAAAACGATCTTAGCCTTCTTTGGAGCAGGTGAGGAGGGATGTTTCTACTACATCCACTTTTTTTTGTTTCTGGCTCAATATGTTGAACCCAACTCTCATTTTGGGTTAGAAAACGTTCATGGAAACTAGCTGGATCTGCCTAAAAATGTCGTATTTTCCTGTGATGTGATCAGTTTTGTGCGCTTTAGAATAGGTATCAGGAGACCCACCGAGCAGAAACCTTCGTCATACGAAGTTCATTATGAGTATATTCTCAACTCTCTCACGGTATATGCTAATAGCATTGGCTATTTAATTTATAGTCAATCGCTTCTGATCCATCACCATGTGGTGAACACGATCAATGTTTTCTGTCGTGGCAGTGGCAGGGCGCCCAGACCTTGGTTCATCTTCAAGACTCTCCCTTCAGCAACTAAATGTTTCTGCCCACTTTGGCACTGTTGATAATCACATAGGTAACGAAGATAATAATAATAATAATAATAATAATAACTGGTATGAACACCACCCAGACCCGGTTAAGGAGATAGGGCCAGTTACAATTCTATGGGACTACACAATACACACTGACAGAACAATCAAAGCCAACCGCCCAGACATTGTTATTAGAAACCACAAACAAAAAAGTGCCTCCTTATTGATATGGTAGTCCCTGCAGACTGCAATGCATCTTTGAAGATATTCAAAAAGCTGTCAAAATACAAGGACCTTGAAATCGAAATCTCAAAAATGTGGCATATGGGAACATCAACAATCCCTGTTATAGTTGGATCCCTAGGAATGGTTGGAAAAGATTCCAGTAGACTAATTGAAGGGATTCCTGGAAGTCCATGCCTTAAAGAGATACAAAAATTG